ACCTAATAACTTATGTATAAACACCATGGTAACTTTGACCCAAGGAAATGTTTTGTTGAAACATACCCCCGGTATATTCTGTGTAAATAGGATGATAATTTATGGACCGCAAACATGATAACTTACGTTCAAACACCATGGCAACTTCCTCTCGGGGGGAGGGTAGTTGTTGAACATACCCCGGTAACTCATGTGTAACTGGTATGGTAATTTACGCACCATAGACTTGATAACTTGCGTATAAACACCATGATAACTTTGACCCGGAGATTTTTGTTGTTGTTGAAATATATCCCCATTAACTCATGTGTAAATTACATGGTAATCTAAGCACCACAAATATCATAACTTACGCTAAAACATTTTCGTAACTTCCACCGGGGTAAAAGTTATTGAAACATGCCATAATAACCTATGTGTAAAGTTACCGGTCATCTCATGCTATAGTTATCGGTTTTCTCATGTTATAGGTATCAGGAGGCTCATGTTAAAGTTACTAGGATGCTCATGCCAAAGTTATCAAAGCAAAAATTAACTCTTTTGCTAACATGGTAGGAAGAAGGGGCCAAATACCCTTTTTTCATGTATGGTGGACAACAAGTAAAGGTGGTTGAGTTGGTTATTTGGCTAGTAGCTATTCAATAGACTTGGGTTCAAGTCCTCCTTCCAGCACTTCATTTATTTTTTATATTTCTTTTGTGACTAGAAATGAACACGGCGAAAAACACCGGTGATTTAGTGTTGGGACATGCGGTTTTCGGAAGAAGGGAGAAAATCAGTGGGCATGCGCATGCGCGGGACATATGATAGCGACCGGGTAGAAAACGGGTCATTCGTATTTGTCCCTATAATTGAAACGATCACCAGTTAGTCCGGTCCAATAAGAAAAGAGTGACCTACATTGACTGCAAGGATATTGATACGACCGTTCCACCTCCACCCAATGTCATGATCGCACTATAGGAATCAATAATTTATTAATTGGTGTTACGATCATCCTTCATTGATGTCTTCTTCCACGTCCACCCAATGCCATGACCTTTGCACTAGGAATAAATAATTTATTAATTGGCATAGTGGCCAAGTAGAGCCTCTTCGTATTTGGGGTCAATAGATTTAACTTGGAAAATGTGATTTATATGTAATAGAAAACAGTACTTTGGAAACTACTTTTAAATATGGATCCTACAATATTTTTTAGCATATGACTTAAATTTATGGTCAAAATTTGACCTAAAATACGACGAAGACTAATAAACCTGAACAATGTGGTGCTTTTTTCTTAATCAACGATTGAGGAGGGAGTTGAGGCATAAAAGAAGTCGCCAACTCAATTTGATCTCGATCGAAGGTACTCCCTTCTTTCTGGTTTAAATGGCTCACGTGTGTCCAAGATCAATAATTTACCGTTGTTATAGAAAGTTAGAATGTCCAGTGTTATAGAAAGCTAGAATGTTGGCAAATCTTAGCGCTCGCATACTAGTTTCTAGACTGCCGAATGTTACAAAAAGTAACAATTGTGATAAGGATGATGCATCATGCACTGCTAAAAGGACCTTGACTTTCTATAACGGTAAGTCGTTTAGTCCTTTTAATTACATTACATCCAAACTTGGACTTAGTCACCCACCTGATATCGCCCACACTTAATGGCTCTGTCTATAAACCCAACTAGCTGCTGGTAGGTGGATCATGTCTCATCTTGCTATTCCTCTCTTCTTGGATGTTTCTTTAGTAGCTAGCCCCATCCTGGCTGATCGAGCCTCCAGGTTAGTACTCCAGCCATTTACTTGTCAAATATTTTTCATGTCGATTAATACAGTTTGTATATGTTCTTTTAAATTCTATCTTGACACTTCTGATCTGAAAAAAACACAACTTTGCTAAGTAGCTTCTTAGTTATGAAGCAGATATGTATTACATATTGCACATGGAGAACTCCCGCAAAAAAAAAAAATTACATAGAGAAGTTTGTTCCATCTAGTGTTATAGAAAGCTAGGATGTCTTCGGGGATAAGCTCTAGAAAAGTTGAACATAATAAAATGAGCAAAAGAAAGGAGGGTACGTAGTACTTAAAAAATTAATCTATTCATTTTCAATTATGATAGTACAACGGAAACCAAAAATAATAAAAATTGCATCCAGATATGTAGACTACATAGTGACGACTACAAACGCTGAAGCGAGCCGAACGCAATGCCGCCGTCATCGCCCCTCTCTCGCTGGAGTCGATAAAACTTGTTGTAAATAGTTGAAAAGTTATCATGCTAAGGCCCCACAGAACCAAATATACGTACTACTCTATGATCAACACTAAACAAGAGAGCATCTTTTCAGCTCAACGGACATCAACCAACCAACATCCTCTTGGTCCACCTGATTTGTAACTTTGTGAAAGCATCTTGACGATACTCTAAAAAGCTTTAGAGGAGTAAAATCATTTTTTTATCCTCTAGCCAGCACTTAGCCGATCCCTTATAATCGTTAGAGGGGTAAATTTTTACTCCACAGCCTCCCTATCTCATAAAAATACTCCTCCGTGACGGGTTGGAGTGAAAACTTCCTTCGTGTGCGTGGCCACCTGGCGACTCGTGTGAAGCCCCCTTGTCAAGTACTCCCTCGACGGCGGCTTTGGGCCTCGTCGGCGACCTCGCGGCCCTTTTCGCTCGTCAGGCGCAGGCGCATGCTGGTGGATACCTTCTCGTCTGCGACCGACAGACCGACGAGCACGAACCTCTCCATGGCCGCCACGGTCGCCCGGCAATCTTTCTCCCGAAGCAGAGCCCCCCGGCACCTCCCTCGTCCGGGCGGCCTTGACGAGCGTCCACGCCCAGTCCGTGACCAGCACCATCCGGGATGGCTCCGCGAGGTCCAGCGTGGGCGGGCCGCTCATCACCTCCAGCGCGTTGTCAGGTGCGACTGCCCGTCCCGGCTCCGGCGTGCGTGCCAGCCCGAAGTCCGCCACGCGCATGCACTCCACGTCGTTGTGCATGTAGAGTATGTACTCCAGCCCCCTCGCTTCACGCCGTAGTGCATGTAGATCTTCGTAGTGGTAGATCCCGGCTTTACGTCGAAAATCTTATGCGACCAGGTCGTACGCTGTCGTTCGTGAGACCCTGCCCAGCGCCTGACACCTGGATAAACGAATCTCAAAGCACAATCCCAGGTAGCAAATTGTGAATCCCGTCTACCAAATCCCTAATCCTCTTTCTTCGCCGCCGCCAAAGCTCGCTTGTCATTGTCGTCGCCGCCGCCAGCGCTCGCTCGTCTCCGCAGCCGCCGCCACCACTAGTCTTATTCTCGCTCTGTCGCGGAAGCACTGGAGCTCCATCCCTGGCCCCCTGCTGCTCTAACTTACTAAAACACTGGCGACGTGAACCTGGACGCCGCCATCCCTCGCTCTGTTGGGGCAGCCGAAGGCTAGACACGACGGTGATCGGCAGCACCGACAATGCATGGTGACCGGGCACGTGACCTACTGCGACATGCGTGTCCGACATGCTCTCCGACGTTGATGGCGTGGTCACCATCATCGCTGCTTGCTGCATAGCAAGTGTTTCATGAAATGCTTAAGCCAAATAAAATTTTGCTCCGTTAAATTTAAGGGGTCGGCTAGGAACGGCCATTTTTTAAGGAGCATATCTGCTCGTTTACTCGGCTGTTTACTCCTTTAAAATTTAGGGGATCGGGGATGCCCTAGGGCATATCAGTTTCTGGATCTTAAGAGAGCAACGACACCCTGACCTCCTCTCCATGTGAAGAACATGGAGAGGCACAAACCTTGCAATTAAAACCCAAAGTACTAGAAAGCTAATACTTTAAGATGTAAATAAAGAGGGGAGAATGTGATTAGTTTTCTTATCTCAAAAGTGTAGGCTTCTCAAGAGTGAAAAAAAATCTATGAACTTGCACAAATGTGCACATTGGTCTCGAACTTGCAAAGCTGAGAAAACATGTGTCGAACCTGCCAGACTGTCTGAGGGGATTACTAGCCTTAGAGAAGTTCAACATAACAAAGCAAAACAAAATAAAAGAGTGTATCTACTACTCTAGGATCAACACCAAACAAGGGACCATCTTCTCAACCAACTTCCATCAGCTAACACCGTCTCAGTCCACTTGAGTGGTTCGGCATATATAGCAAGATGTGGATCTTAGAAAGCAACAACACCGTGACCGCCTCTGTTTTACCGGCAACGGGATCTCCCATTGCTGGCTTTGTGAAGAACATGGTAAGGAGAGGCACAAACTTTGCAATTAAAATTTAGAAAGTTTTTTTTTGAGGCAGTGCCATCATGGTGGTTTTTATTTGATATCAAATAAGGATACATTGTTCAATAAGGGATAGAATGGAGGAAGGCGTATTATTCATCCACAAGCTCGAAGGATTAACTCCGTTTGACCGAAAGTTAATATGAGACAGAGGGAGTAATACTTAGACGTAAAGAAAAAAAAAAGCTGCAATTAATCGTCCTATCTCAAAGGAATGCATACATTAGCTGCATTTGGAATTAATTTTTGTGGCCGGCTTAGTGGAACAAGTAAAATCTCCACAACTAACTTGATTCCATCGTGAGCACATCAAAGGTCAGAAAAAACGCCAATAATAAGTCTTCGGTAGAGTTTTTGGGCCTTGCACTAGGGCTTTCTACAGGATTTTGCCCAGGACCTGCCTCGGCCCTTGATTGTAGGTGCATAAGCTTTAACATGATGCACACAAATAAACTTGAATGGATTTCTTCAAATGCATAAATATGTAAAGCATAAACTCAGGCGCCCACTATTGCACTGCACATTTGCGTTTCCTTATTTCGTTGAAGATCACAAAAGGTAGAATACAGTTGCCTTAAATAATGGTCGGTGCACGAACGATTTACTATAGACAATTGTTCTAAAATACCATATGCTGCCTTAAATAGCGCTGATCTGAAACAAACCTCTTTTTGCTAATGTTGATACTGCATACTGTCAAACTGATTGCACATCAGATACATCGTACATGGATCGTGAGGTCCTGGAGCGTATACTTGATGGAAGAGAGAAGCCGACAAATCTATCACTCGCACTTTTGAAGGATATCACAGAAAATTTCTCGGATGATCGAGAAATCGGTCACGGTGGATTTGCAACTGTTTATAAGGTAAATTGCTTTTTAACCATAAATTAGGCATATGATATCTAGAGATCGCACTTGGAATTGTTATATTGGCTTGAGCAGTCCTCGAGTTAGCAAAACTATGTTAACTAGATGATACTCCGCACGTTGTTGCGGGAATATTTGCAATACATTTCGATGATATGTGTTTTCTATGGAACGTGAATAGTGATACTACGTAAACTAAAATTGCAAATCCATACGCTTTATTGTGTTTGATTAATGTATTGTAAAATATCTAATATATGTTTGCATGTTGAGGTGGACATTTTCATGTGCATGAATGCATGTTGTGGTGGGCCTTTTGCCATGCATGTTGCTTGATGATGTGGCATGCTTGCATGTTGAGAGAAATATGTTAGTGGGGGCTAGCTATTTAGATATAGAAGATAATCGGTGTTGCCAACTAGTAAATACCATATATAGATGTTACATTCGTCTGCAAGATGCCACTTGATTCTAGCAGTATCTGGTATATATTGAAGTCAGACAACCGGGTATATTCTTTGTGTCGTATATTACGGAATTCTGTTCCTAGGGTCGAACATAGTATCCAACATCAATTCGGAAAATGGAACCGCCTTAAGGTTGTCATGGAGCTACAAACCTTTTTCCTAGCATATATGTGCATGTGTGGTGGTGCAATTGTACTGTAACATTAGGTGTGCTCTCTCGGGAAAAAAGGGGCTTCCGTCGCTGCATCCCAAACTTCTGTATTATCTTTCTTGCAGAGTATCTTCAAATTCAGCTAAACACTTTTTGAATGCTCACAAGAGAAGTTAAACAGGGAGTGCTTCGTAATGGGAACATTGCTGTAAAGAGGATAAGGAACAGTCATTCAATCAATGAGACTTTATTTTATCGAGAAGTTGACAGCCTGTTGAACATTAAACATAAAAATGTTGTACGCTTTCTTGGCTTCTGTGCTAGCACAGATCAGATAGCCATACAAATTGCAGGATCAAAACGACATATTTATGCTGAGGTAAGAGAAAGACTACTCTGTTTTGAGTATATCAGCAATGGAAGTCTACAAAAGTATGTTACTGGTACGTCATTCTTGCAACAAGCTCTTATCTTTACTAACTTATCTTTATTTTCCATGATCAAGATGTGATATATACATTCATAATGCAATTTAGCGCATGCACAAATCAAATGATGGAAACTTTTATGGCTCACTGTTACTTTTTGCATTATGTAGATGAATTAAGAGGACTGGAATGGAATACACGCTATGGAATAATTAGAGGAATCTGTGAAGGTTTGCATCATCTGCACACGGAGAAGCACATATATCATATGGATTTGAAACCTGGCAATATACTACTAGATAATGATATGGTGCCGAAAATCACAGATTTCGGTTTATCAAGACTTGATGAAAAGTCAAAAACCATGAGTGAAGACCGTCTCGGATCACTGTAAGCTATGCATCAAAACAACATAATTTCTCGGCATCTTCTTTCACATTTTCTGATGCTGTAATACATTGAAATGCCGACCTTTTTGCAGAGGATATTGTGCTCCAGAGTACATATCTGAAGGAAATATGTCATTCAAATCAGACATGTACAGTTTGGGCAAAATAATCATCGAGCTAGTGACGGGAGGAAAGGAGATCCTCAATAATAGCAACACTGTAAGAGGGTTCTATCTCGCCATGCAGACAATCTTTTTTGTAGAAATATCCTAACTTTCTACCTTGCATATTGGTTACCATTTTCTTAATAATCCTACTTAATTTGCATATTACAGTGTTGGATGGATTATCTAGTATAAGAACATATTTAGAATGAAAATATAAGCAACGTGATGGTCTTACTCAAAAACCAGCACATCACCAGAATGTAAACGCTTTAGCAGCTCACCATATTGAGTTCCATATCACTCGTTCCACCGTTTTAAATCGGTGCCAACACATGGTAGCTTCATATGATGGCTAGAAACATTTATATTTAAGCCATGTGGCACCGGTATCAGTGCATGATTTGGGTCAGTCGTTTCTACATAGTCAAGTAAAAATTGAGGGACTAGGGTTGACACAAGATCCCGTGGGCGATGCACTGATGAGAATGATGATACGAGAGACAGATCTACATAGGTTTAGGCCCCCAACATGGGTAAAAGTTCTACGTCCTGCCTTGAAGATCTTGTATCTTTTGGGGGTGATTGCAAGGATGTATGTGGACGGATGGCTAAAACACTAGATTCGCTAAAGCTTGACAGATGTTTCATAACTTCAATTGTGGTTGTCCTCTTGCACACTTTCCTAGAAATTTGTTTTGTTATTGAGATAATCTCGCATATGGTTGAAGCAAACTCCATCCTATCCAGTCAAAATGATGATGACACGACCCATATGACATCTCTGAAAGATCTTGTTCACACCGTGTGTATTTATTCCTAGTTTCACGCACCCCACGTCTTACAATCTCTTTGTAAACCTTGGGGTTTTGGGCATGAATAGGGTATTGATGGATGTAACCACACGGAGCTTCGATGCGGGAAATAGACCAAGGCATCATGGTTAATTCTTCATCTTGCTGTTGACTTGTAAATGGGCATGACATGGGGCGCCCAATGACACTTGGTCCTGCAATGACAAGCTTTCCATGTCAAGAAGACCATTTCCAACGTCCACATACACTGAAAAAGGCATTGGCCTCCTAGCCTACAGGGGGCT